CGAACACCTGTCATCACCCGTAAGGCAGACAGACATCCCGAATCGAGCAGCCCACCGAAGAGTGCTGCAGGCACTCCAAACAAAGAATGCCCGACTATTTGGCACTGCTTAAAGGTGCTCAGTTGGCCAGAAAAAAAGTAGAAAAAAATCAGAGAGAAAAAACAACAAAAGAAAGCCAGACAGACAAAAAATGATTGTGTGTGTGTGTGTGTGTGTGTGTGTGTGTGTGTGTGTGTGTGTGTGTGTGTGTGTGTGTGTGTGTGTGTGTTGTCATATTCGCTATCCACAACTCCACAGAAGAAAAAAAAACATGACTGTGCTATACATAACTCCGTTGTAGGTCTTGCATCATTAGCCTCTGGTCACCACTGTTGTCCAGATGCATTCTCCCCCTGCTATTTTTCGTGGTAGGTTTTCAAAGCAGTTTTCAGATTGAAAAATATTCAGTTAAAACTTGATAGTTATGTCACTGTTGTGTGAACAGAACCATCAACATATGCTAGCCTGATCGTATCCGTCGTTTTGTTATCTGATGCTGCATAACAGGGCTTGTGTCTGTGTTCTGGGGAGCGAGACATGTACAGCTGAAGTGCATCTTGCAGAATCTTTGTGGGCATGTGCATGGGATAGGGTATGGACAGAAGAGGAGAAATCATGGAAGCTCCAGGACAATTGTTGTTTCAGCAGATAAGGGCAGTGGTTCTCGAACGGTCAGCAGGAATGACGAGAAGAAAAGTGGTGAGGCGAGGCGTAGGTTAGAGAGTCGCGGCTGGGGCTGGGTGGGCTCAGAAAGTGGACGTGGAAGCGGAGGGGAGGGAAGGGAAAAGGGTGGGAGTAATGGACAGAGGTGGAAGAAGGAAGAGCAAAGAGGAGGGCAAGGCGAGAGGAAAGATAAAGGGGGTAGTCCGAACGCGAGATTTGGGGGCGGTGCGGGTTGGAGAAATGGGAAGAAGAAAAAATGGGGGAAGACCGTGTCGCGAGGCAAGGCTAAGAAGGAGAACAAGCGTGGAGATTTCTTTGAGATTGAGGACCCTGAGACTGGGGAGAAGATTGCGGTTTTTGGACATGAGGGGATGGACCCCTCCGTAATTAAGCCATCGGATCTAAAGTGGGAACCTGCAGAGATCATTGGATCTGGTAATGTGAGCGATGAGACCTGGTGGGAGGTCATGGAGGGTGATAGACTCTTGCCATCGGGAGGTCATGGCGCCTCGGGAGTCAACAAGTATGCAGATGATATCGACGATGAGGATTTTGACGATTACGAGGAGGAGGAGGAGGAGGAGGAGGAGGGTGGGAGTGATGTTTGGGATTCATTCAGAGATGATGGAGCAGAAGATTCTTCTGATGTCGAAGATACGGATGTGGCTGAGGAGGAGGAGGAGGAGGGGGAGGAGGAGGAGGAGGAGGAAGAAGACAGGGAGGATGATGCAAGACGGCAGGTGCGACGAAGACCACCTATGGGTTTGAATGTATTTGGGAGGAATTTCACCGGCTTGCGTGTTAAGAGCTCATTACTTGATGATCATGTTGCGGATCGCAAGTCTGATTTTTTAAATGGAGAGGAAGGCGCATCTGATTTTGGAACCATGACCGCTCACCGGGAAGAGGGCCGCAGTGGCAAGGTGGTCGGTGCACTAGCGGATAATCGGGTTGAGGCACTCGTTGGGATGCCTGCTTCTAAAGGCCAAGGAGAAGATGGGAAATACATCGACGGTCCTGAGGTGGATGTGAGGAAAGTGGAGGAGGAGGGGGTTCAGGAGAGCAGCATACTGCGTGCTGCTGCTGCCGAAGATGGAGATTGGCTCCGAAGAGGGGATACTCGGACCGTCAGTCATACTGTAGAGGGCCTGAAAGGTGTGGCATTGGACAAGGACCAGCCAATGCAGAAGCAGAACAGTGTTGATCTCTCACTGCCATCAGGTTTGCGTTCTCAGCTATCAAGGGAAGTTCTTTTGAAGTCTGAGAAAGGGACTTCTGAATCTTCTGAAGATGAAATGGAGAGTGGAAATGAAATAGAAGAGGATGGAGAGGTTAAAGATGATGATGATGATGATGATGATGGTGATAAGCAGAATTCTCTCCAGAATCGTTCGAGAGCAGAAAGGAGCGATTCAACTTTAAAAGAAGTCAAAGGGAGAGGAAAAAGATTGCTTGATGGACTTCGTGCACGGGTTCTGGGTACTGGAGTGGCTGCTGAACAGGACGCAAAACGGGATCGAGGCTCTTCCAGTGAAGCTCGACAAGAATCACGCAGGAGTGCAGAGAGTCACGGAGAAGGAACCGAGAAGATCCCGCATCCAGGGGCCAGTAAAGATCCAGAAGCATATCATGACAAAAAGCTTCCTACGAGAACGGCAATCCTCGAAAGGCGAAACTTTGACGAAGAGTTGGCAAGATCTTTCTTCAGTTTAGAGTCCTTTGAGGATGTTGGGGCAAGCGATGAAGCGGCTGCTATGCTCAGGGCTATGGGAATAGTCAAACCTTCACACATTCAGGTCTGTGTCTTCAGCGAGGGTTTTTGTGGTGGGATGAGTACTCTGAAAAATCCAATGGCATGTCGAAATGCGATGATTGAACGCCCATTTTATTTATGCCAGTATTGCTCTCTCTCTCGCTTGTTCTATTCGTCGGTGAGGGCCTTCCAAGGGAATCTTTCATAGCAGTCAATCATAAGTGTAAATCGTACACCGTGAAAAGTAAACCGTGAACCATAAACTGTAAACTGCTAGGCTACCAGAGTGGCCCGGGACAACTTGCCCGGCTGGGCAAAAAAAAACATAAAAAAAATAAAGATATATATTTTTCGAATTTATTTTTGTAAATTTTATTTTAAATTTGGTAAAGAATTTCGAATTTTCGATGTGACCCTGAGGCAAAGTTGTTCAGTTTATTTTTCTGGATATTTTTTTTTTTCAGTTTTTTTAACTTTTTTTTTTTTTTTTTTTTTTTTTTTTTTTTTTTTCCCTCCCTTGGGAACACCTTTGGTCCTTGCACGGCCGGGCCGCCCGGGAAAACAAGGTGACCCGGGCGGCCCGGCTGGTAGCCTAGGTAAACTTAAATTGTGCCATGTAAACTGTGGTCTGTAAATCCAAAATTTGAAACCTTCCACTGTAAAGTTGAGTAAACCCTAACCCTAAAGTTGCCTAAACCTTGATTCCTTGACAAAAACTTACCAGAGGAAGGCCCAGGAGAGAAAGTTGGACCCACAAAAGTCGCTTTTAAATATCTCGGAGAGAGAGAGAGGGAGAGAAGGGAGACCCACAAAAGCCACATCTAAATATCGGGCCGCGGGCTCTTGCATGACATTTTAAATGCCTTGCATTATTTTCACACATCCTTTTGAGAATCTGACAACTCCAACTAAAATGTGTATATACTATATAATTAATTGACCCCTCCGCTCTTCGGTGTGAGGATGTATATAATGCCCCAAATATCGTGAACACAGAAATTTTGATGTTCAGGGTTTATTTTCTGTTCCCTTTTTTTTGTTTTTTTTTGGTTTCCTTAGTTTGAAAGTTTTCTTTCGTGCGACCACTTTTGGGCCTCGCTCCACTACTCGTCACATCCACAAAAGAGAGAAAAAAATTGGACATTGTATCTTCCCATGTTGTAGTGGAAGATTGATTCTGATTTTGCACATTTGGTGAGTAGTGGAGCGAGGCCCTTGCTTGTACCGAGCCGGCAGGATGTTGGTGAGATTGAGATGGTTGAGGAATAAATTATAAAACACTGAAAACAACGAAAAACATCGACGATGACAGCGGTGCAAATTTTGCATGAAGAGGTGGTTAGGCTTGGGTTCTTATGTCCCCCCCCCCCCCCCTCTCCTTCCCCCCTCTCCCTCCATCTCCCCCCGTCTCCCCTCGTCTCCCCCCGTCTCCCTCCCTTCTTCTTTTTTTGTTGTTTGTTCGTTTAATGTTTACTCCGTTGATTGGTAGAAATTCAACGTCGCAAGTTTTTCTAGTTCTCTTATTAATGCACTCCTGAGGAGTCGAAGACCATTGATTGTCTCTCATCAGTGGCGACAATCAGCAGGGAAGGAAGTCATGCGGTTGGAGCTCGAAGTGTATGATGTGTTTGACAAGTTGTGGGGGGACCACCACTTCCGACAAATTTAGCTGATCCCTGGCTGAGCTTCAGTTGTTGACTGACTGTTCAAACAAAAAAACCATGCCATGTGGCAATTGTCAGTACACAGCAATGCTTTGCCCGCGAGCATGCGATGTCGCAGTTGTCGGTGCACAGTCAATGCTTTGCATACCCCCAAAGTCAAACTCTCTCAGGGCATACTCACGCTAGGACTTTTCTGAATGCATCTGACTGCAATTTCAGCTGAGCCTGAATGTATCTGTCTGCATTGTAAGGCCAGAGCACACTCAAAAGAAGTCCTACTGTGAGTATGCTCTCAGCGAGGCAAGCACTGGTTGGTGTGGTGATGTTCAGGCTACGTCTTCCGCCAAATAGAACGTACGGTCATTATTGATGTATCTGGAGTCTGGACTGAAAGTGGCCTCAAATAGAGGCATAATGACTGTACGTTCTATTCGGGGGAAGACAGTAGAAACTTCTTAGGAAGATGTTTGGCCGATTGTGTGTTTGATGGCAATTTTTTAGCTGATTTTTTTTTTTTTTTTTTTTTTNTTTTTTTTAAGTGGGCTGAGAGCTCCATTCTCCTTTTCTTGATAGGACTGTCTTGATCTGTGTGATAACTTTGATTGTGATCAAAAGGGTTTGAACTTTGAAGTTTAAACTCGTTTAAGTGGAGTTATGGTTGTGTAGTACAGTACCGTTGTGAGAAAACACCCACTGAGGTACTGCAATCGTCAGTAAGGATATATCCTTACTCTACTCGCAATGTTTCGGCAATTGTGCCCATCTTCCTCTCTACGTGTCCATTATCCATCTTTCTCTCTCTCTTTTTTTTTTGTGAAAAGGGCGATGATGACCTTGAGATAACATCGCTGAACTGACTGGCACCAGGTAATTCAGAGCAGTTCCACGAACTTCCATCTGGATTCGAACTCAGGTCTGCATTTCGACAGGTCACAGGGGTACCAACTGAGGTCGGCCGGTTGGTCTGATCGACTCTGATCATCGAGTCTGATGTCCATTATCCAACCTTTTTCTTTTTTTTAATGTTCATTATCCATCTTATTTTCGCCTGCATTGTCTTATCCCTTTGAAAATTGAATGCTCCTTTTCAACCTCTTGCTTAACGATTGGTGAACCTTGGGACCTCGCAAAAATGGTGGTCCCCACATAACCTTTCATGGAACTTGGTTTGAACTCTTTGAAATTTGCAGGCGTTATCGTACAGAACTGTGCTGAGTGGTAGACCTTGCATAATTGCAGACCAGACGGGCACAGGGAAGACACTAGCGTACCTCGCACCATTGGTGCAGAGATTGAGAGAAGAAGAGATCAGTGGATCCGGCCGTGCGAAGCCCAGGAAACCAAGAGTGCTTGTCTTGACGCCAACTAGCGAGCTGGCGGCACAGGTGAGGTGCCTGATTCCTTTCTTGTTTCTTCCCTTCTTATAGTGCAATACATAACTCGTGGTTGGACCTTTCGGAATGAATCTGGTCTGAATTGCTATTTTTCCATGTATAATTTTCTTGGATCCGTTTTCATGCTCTTAGCTTAACGGGGGGGACCACCACTTTCAGCTCCTGACTAACGGGTCCAAAACTGAATCTAGGAACTTTAGGGGTCTCTATTTTTTATTGATTTTGTTTCAAACGAGAGGCACTGATTAAAAAAAAAAAAAAAAAAAAAAAAAAAAAAAAAAAAAA